GATGTAACTTATTGTCTTTTTCCAATTCCATAGTGAATTTCGTCTTATCTAATTTATTTATTAACCCAAGGAAGTCTTCCAGACGCTCTTTGCAATGCTGCCAGATAGCATCGTAATCATCCATATATCTGACAAATAATTTCAAAACCATGAGTGTTTCTCTAAAAAGCCAGACTACTAATTGGGCCATGTAATTATTAGCCTAAACTGGAGACAAACACGATCTCAAAGATAAACCTCCGAGTCTATTTGAGTAATGTAAAATAATTGTAATATATTTTCTTAATACTGGTTATAGATTAAAGCTCACGCTTTCTTGGTTTATAAATTCCTTGTCTCTGTCACCCTGTGGTTCCAGTGAGCCCTTAGACATTATTAAAAAGTTTAGTTCTCAATTTTATTATTTTATAAAAGCCGGGGCAATATTAGAGATTCAATCGTAGATATAAAGACCAAGATGATGGGACTGTTTGTTTGGTCGCAGTTTTCTTTAACTTTATAGTGTTGGTTTGACCTCGTTTTAGTCATGCATCATCTGCCATACTATTCGTGATTTCCAGAATCGGATCACTGACGTGATATATACTCAAACATTCTCAGATTCCAGACAACCAGACAGTGATTTTAATGCATAGTAATCGCCAATTGGCAAGCGGGATGGAAAGGGGGCTGAATGAAAGTCCGAAGCCCTGCAAACGTTATTTGGAACCGGTGATGAGAATGATTATGCCTCACCAAATCAATTTGTAGCGATACACCCTTCAACATTGGATGAAACGAGTGCACAGGATTGTGTGAATTCGTAAATGGGCCATATGAAATGGGGTTGAGAGAATAGATACATACCTATAAGTTAGTGCGAAAAATAGGGCTGAGGAGTAATGCCACAACGACTGAACAGAAAATTGGTCAAAGGGATTGCCTCTATTTGTCACTGATAAGTTGTAACTGTCCTACCGATGGCGCCCCTCGCTGACGATGCCGGCCAAACTTTTGCGAATTTACCAAG